AGCTATTGCCACAAACTCAATGCCAGTCGTATTCTGCTGAAGCCAACTGATTTTGTTTAATGCATAGTTACGATCACTGCTAATGTCGTAGAATACCTGAAAATATTCAATGAGTATTCAATTATTCACTAAACAATACTGCTGGTCACATTTGTTTCAAACAGAATTAATAAATTACCTCAATCCAAACATTAGGATGTGGACAAGTATAGATGATAGGCATACGCCTTTGTGGAAGTGTTGGTCGCTGAAACCACACACCAACATCAGGTCTGAAATCTCTATTTCTGACTACACAAATGGTATTATTAATTGTACACCAATTTCGATTTTGATTCGCAAGTGATTCTCTGAGCTTTGAATGAATCATTTCTTTTTCTCCACCATTATACTGAAATTATATAAAAATTATTACAATTTGAAAATTAGTCATATATTTTTTAAACTCACTTTGATGAATAAATCGAAACCACTTCTTTCAGCATTGAAGGCTTTGTGGATTTTTTCCCGTAAGTTAAGGTCGCCAAGTTCTTTAACAGGAAATTTGATCTTCACGATCCCAATGCCTGTGTTTTGTTCCTTCAGTTCTTGTTCAATTTTATCATGAATCTTTAAAACAAAAAGACCATTAGCCAAAACTATTTCGTTTTCATTAGTTTTAAGTACATACCATTATATACCTTATCAAATTTGGATTGCATAGAAATTGAGCTATTCATTGCTGACCCATTTTCAATTTTTTTGTGAATCTAAAAATTAATGAGTAATGATATTTTGACTGGTTATTTTTTGTACAACGTTAGAAAATTACCTGAAAAGATTCTTTAGATTCCATATCAGCAATCGTTTCCATATTAGAAATGTGTGTTACAACGTTTTTCAGAATCCAAAGAACAAGATAACCAAAGTAAACACTTAAGGAAATCAAGAAATAAACAGGACAGAGCTGAGAAGGTTTAGATTATTATTATTATTTATCGTTATGCAATTCTATAAAAAAATATCGCATACGTACCACAATCCCAACAGTAATCACAAAAATAATTACTGGAAGACTTGTTACAATAACTATGAAATAATTAATGTTAGACATCAAAGATCGATTTTTCAGGTACATTCTACGTTCTTGTTACATAAGAAGTTACTCGTAGTGATGTGAGCGCACTGAGGTAATTAGTTACGACACATTGTAGCAAAGTTGCAACTTTTTTGTAGTATTGATGTAGGTCGTAACTATAGTCATTAGGGCTAATTTGTTTAAACCCCAAAATTTAAAAGGCATTGACCGATCAGTTGGGGCTGGATTGTCATTTGAC